GGAAGGCACTGCAGAGAAGTAGAGCTGGATATAGTATGATAGGATACCTAGATATATAACACTCGCAGACCCATGGCATTGGATTATTTGTGTGCGCGTTTCGTGCAGAGTCACGAACGTGATGTTGAGCCCCGGCAAACTCCCCTCGCACGATCATCCTCAGCGAGCACTGTGCAGCGAGAACGTGTCTTATAATACTACTGCTATGTGAGTGGGTACGATATGTTTCCAGAATTGTTTTGTGATAGCTCAAGACCTCCCTAGACAACGCTACTGTTCTCGGTATTCGAAAAAATAGAACTTAAGACTCACTTCTAGAGAATACTGTTATATGGTTATTTATTATTATGAAGAATACATTTCTATCTTCAGTTAACGCAATCCCCGAATCTGTAAAAATATATGGGGGAATGAAGCCAAGCCAGAGTAGCCCCAAGTAATATCCGCAGTTTAACAAGTGGAGGAAGGTTTTACCCTGTGTGGGTGGGTGTTCTTGGGAGCCCGGTGCAATTTATACAATGTTATAACAGTTTCGACCATGAAAACCCGACTGGATCCAACGCCGGGGAATCATACTGTAAAGTCAAACTTGTACTGTACCCCGCAGGAGATCTACCAGTATCATAGAGCAGACACACGAGCATAGGCGTTGATTGGAGTCGATCAACCAATCTTAATTCCTTATGCTAACCAACTCCGGTTACCTAAAAGTGTCATACCCCTCACAGTATCAATAAAACTGCAGAGAAACCGTGGAGTGGAGTGGAGTGGAGGTCCATCTTAAGGTTCAGTCGCCGATGTCCCACAAGTTAGGTTAAAAGTGACAATATGGAGGACCCTTGCCACTCCCGACAGCAAGAATTTAGATATTAGAGCCATAAATCTAGCTGATCTTTTATACCCAAAATATGTGTCCCTATTCAAAGCCAGGACAGATGCCCTCATTCTTCTTCTTTCCCATTTGACTTTCAACTCACCCCTCCTCTGTAACCCCCAGGTCCATTTCTATCCTCTTGTCCCGTTTTCCGGGCTATCATTCCATTGCCGTTTGATTACATCCTCCTCCCTCTTTCGCTTAGCGGACGAACAAAGAGAACCAAGCTATTTACCACACCTCCCACATCCATACATCCACACACTACTCAAGCACCAAGCAAACCCCCCTATCTACCGTCTGCCGCTGCCCGATCGGTCTTCCACCTTTACCCACCGCCAATAGCATAAATGTCGAAATTATCGAATGGTCGAGCAGGGGTCTTACTTCCCCGAAATATCGAGGTGGCTTGGGGTTAAGTTAGATCTCATATTTTCTTATAGCGATATGCACGATATTTCTCTCCTTTTTAGCACCGATGTTGACACGTCCGGGAGTGCGAAGAACTTGGTGCTGAGTCGGCAGGGTTCCTCGGCTCCCAGGTTTCGATTTATTGATGCAACGGGGGAGGAGATTGCCATTATGATAGGTGTTCTATCTTGCAGTGGAAGTCATAGCCAGTCACTCGTGTAAGGAGGTCGGTGCCAAAACACACAGTTATCATTATCCAGCCACCAAACATGGAAAAAATCAACCCCCCTCCCCCCAACCTGCTGCGCCATAGTAGCGTCCGCAAAAAAAGTCTGGGAATCTTCACTCCCCATTCCCCCCAGAGTAGTGAGATGTGGAACGTCCTTTCCCTCAAGATATCTACCAAGACCAGGTCTTTTGTATTGGAAAGGTGAGTTGCCTTGCCCAGTTCATGTGCCCAAAGCTCTGTACCAACTGCAGACAAATGCCTGAAATAAATATATAATAATATCATCATTCTACTTCGGATAAACTAAATCTTTCTATTTTTTCTTCAAAAGTTGAGTTTCAAGATATATAGAAACATAACGGCTCGAAAACCTACAATTTTGGTGTTTTAGCCTGTCCAGTTACCAAGCGGCCCCTATTGGCGCTATAGCACCCTGTTAGTTTAGAGCTCTCTTCTATTGATACAAGTACTTTACAGTACTTGGAAAAAAAAATCAAGTAAATTTGTACCCAGCAAAAATAAGAAAGGAAATTAGAACACGAAAAGCAAATAATAATGAAACATTAATCATAAGACACCACACCGGCAATTGGAAAAGGTTATTATTAGTAAAAGGTAAGTCATACGCCATCACATAAAGCAAACTTGGCCCCCACCCAACACCGCACAAAATCAAATAACCCCCCACAAACCGAAAAGGCAAAAGCTAAAGCCAAGAAAAAGGCAACAGTGGAAATAAGAATAAACAAATGAATGAGGATGTGATGGAAAGTGAAATATGTCGAATCAACTCCTCCGAACCATCTCCTCGAGAACATTTTTAAACTCCCCTCCAAGACCCCAAACTCTCATCCTCCCCAGAATCCCCACAACAACCCTAAGCACCTCCCTGGCTCCCATCTCGGAGCATATCTCAGTCATAGCATTCCCGGCATGCTGATCGCTACCAATCGTCGCCTTGCCTTTTCCTTTCTTGATCCAATCATCCACTCCTTTCCACGGCTGGGAGTCCAGGCGGACCACCTCCTCCTGAACCCCTCCCAAAGGACCGGAATGGGGAGGGTTAGGTGGCAGAGGTTCCTGGAAGTAGCGGCCGAAGCCCCAGAGGGCTACTCCTGCCATGAAAATGCGCATACCTTCAACCGGGGAGCAGACAGGTTTCCAGCGGGAGATCGCTATTATTTGCGCGGCGTTCCAAGCCAGGGTTCTAGCGTAGACAGGATCTGCCTCGAAAATGGCTTTCAGCCGTACTATACGTGGGTCCGCTGGTGTCGTGGTCGATGGGGGCGGGCGCCGTGCAAGTGAGAGGATTAACGAGACGGTGGGGAAAGCGGCGTGGAGGTGGGTGTAATGGGATATTAAAAGGGCCAGGCTGTCAACGTCAGTAATATGATAGATCAAGTATACAGAGTGAACAAACGCCATATGAGCTCTATCTCCATCAACTTCTCCGTCCCTCCACCCAGCGTCCATCTGTCTCTCTCTCACCCCTTCACATATAACCATTAAACTCTTTAATAACTTTTCCTTTGCTGGCTTTAATCCAGGGCTTAACATTGGCAACCCTAACCCCCCGTCGTTCCCAACTGAACTGCTCTCACTTAATACACTTTCCTCGAGTTCCTTAAAATCCCAGAGGATCCTTCCAATGGCCTGCGCGCACAACCTCCTGCCCCAGCTCGTCAAATTCTCCGGTAACATTTTCCCGGAGATCACATCACGCAGGGTCGGATAGAACGGTGTTCCCTTCTCCGCGTTAGGGGGGAGGACTCCAGATTCCAGTAATGCGCCCCAGGCCTGTGCGGTAGGGGCTTGCCACAAGGCCTCTGCACATGGCATTCGTGTAGAGATATCGTTCAAATTTATAGCGCCGCGCCGATTAGACAAGGTCGAGAATGAGCAATCGTATTCGAAGATGGACCACGCAAGACGTCTCAATTTCTCTTTCACATACCATCGACGCCACCTAACCTCTATTTCTTCCTCACTGTGACTATCCTCATCACGGGTAGTCCTGGGGTTAGGTGAGCCCCGTGTGGAACCAGGCGAAGACGATGGTGGCGACACACGACCAGAGAATAACCCAATCTGGCGAGCACTCCCGATTAATGCACTCCTAGATACATCCGCACAATCGTAAAGACGATGGGACCCAGATCCTAAGGCGTAGACGCTTTGCAAGCACGAAGCCATGAGGATGAAATCAGAGCGGGGGTACTCAGGGTTGTATTCAGCCTGCACCATACAAGTCAGTATCCCCGTTGAGAATGGTAGACCATACATAATTACCATCCAAGCCAACGTCCTCCTGCAAAGCTCGCTCAAACTATCCGCAAACATCTTAGCACCCTCTAGGTGACTATAACTCGCACCAATACTAGCCATAGCTATCAGAACTATGGTAGGGCAAGTGCCCGCACTAAATGTCGGCTTGTGAATCATTGGGAGGATAGCGTGAAACTTTTCAAAGTAAATTTTAATGAAGGAATCAATCATTGACTTGGATGGAAATTTGCTCATATCAGCGCTCTCATATGGGAATCGCTCCACCGGAATCGAAAGCAGAGAGACCATGTCGTTTAGTATCCTGTCATCGATCCAAGATTCATTATTTGCATTGGCCGGAGAGTGAGCCCGAGTGACGGCTAGCGTCTGAGGAGTGAGTTCTTCAAGGATTTGTCTAAGTGGGGGCAGTGTGACTCTTCTTTCCAACTTCTCTCTTGATGACTGCCAGCTCCATGGGAGAAAGTCCTCAACAGAAGTATGGTCTTTTATCGGCCTAACTGCTGGCAAGCGAGTTTGATAGTCATCGCGATGGTTGATCTTGAACATGGAACCCTCATCTGAACATACCGAAACAGGGGACGCAACTCGCTTGCTGCTACCTACTCCAGCTGTAATAGCGAAGCTTGGGACAGCCCCAGATGTGGTTGTGGAGTGTTTCAAATCTAAAAGAGAACAACTGTCGGCTTGTCCCTCTTTTTGCGGGGCAGCAGGCCAATCACCCCAACCCCTAAGCCAATCAGTACTTTTGTCGAATATTTCGTAATCAAAGAACCAGTTCTCCTCAGAGTTCAGTCCAGGTAGGCTTTCCCCGTATCCCGAGTCGTGCCTACTAGTTGATGGATCACCGCTGGCAACAGCCGTTGGGTCCGGGGGTCCTGCTTGAGGGGATTCGTTTTCATGAGTTCGGTCTGGAAGAAATGACATCGGTGAGCCCACTGTCCTAAATTCCCCTGAACTATCATTGAGGGAAGCACTAATATTCGCAGGCTTTTGAGTGCCTGGTGATCGAGACCGCGGGACAGGCTTAATCCCCTGCGAGGTGCTTGCAGCGTTCATGTCTTCGGCTATGGTCGCTAGCCGACCCACAGCAGCTGCCGAGCTATCTCTTAGAGAGCCCCCGATTTGAGATGAAGATAGAATGTCTCGTGAAGAAAATGGAGGGAATGAGGTAGTCACGGGGTCTAAATAAGTTGTGCTCTCACCATTGCCAGAGGTATGAAAATGCAGCGAACCAAAGTCTCCCCCCCTACCCCTAAATAAATGACCACTAAGTGATCGACCTGTCATATTGAGACCTGTTGAGCTCGAGCGATCCTGGTGATGCACTCCAAACATCGTTTCCGCAGCCGAAGGTGGTTTTTCTGGGATTTCTACGCCGCTATTATTTACCGAGTTGTCGAGGCTCGGGCCGGGCAATTGGCCGTAAGTTTTTGTTGTCATTATTGACATTAGTTTGTCTGCCTCTGCTAGTTCAGCTGCCTCGGCAGGATTGATAAGATTCTGGAGACTGATTGTGGAGGAAGGTGAGGCAATGAATCCATCTGGCTGCCTATCGGGGCCTGCACTGTTCGATGAAGAAGCTATGCGAGCTGCAGTCAGTAGATGAGGGGATACCTGCGACATAATGGAATAAGGCCTGTCCCCTAGCGGCTTACCCGTCGAATCTGTTGTATAGCTGCCGGCGTGTGTCCGTCTCCTCCTCTTGGGCCGACCAACGCTCTCGCTTGTTCCGTTATCACTTTGGGAGCCAGGTACTGCTTCCTCAGACCCTATCTCATCACCATTGTCACCTCCGCCCTGTCCTCCTCTCCTCTCACTTCCGGATCCCTTATCCAAACTGCCCTCTGCTATTACCCCAAAATCGTATATGCACACAGTACCCCGCTTCTTGCATGCTCCGCACGGGTCATCGGCTCTTCCTCCTTCCCTAGTCCCATCCTTCGCTGTTCCCCTTCCGCCGCCCGTGCACTTGATCTTGAACCCGGCACACCGCCGGCAACTTCGCCGTCGGCTTTTCCGAACGTCAGATCGCTTAGTTTCATGGACAGCCCTAACATGTCTTGTCAGGACATCTTTTCTTGTGAATCCTTTTGAACAAGAAGGGCAGATAAAGGTTTTGGAGGTGTTTGACGGAAGATGTGTAGTTAGGTGGCGGTCGAGGTGCTCGCCTCGAGAGAATGTACGTGAGCATGAAGGACACGTATGAGTGGCCTTGCCAGAAGTTGTAGGTGCACTCGTCATCGTGGGCGAAGCCTCCGACATCATCTTATTAGACGAGGAGGGGTAGAATGATGTTGGAGAAGGCAACATAGGGTTCCCTCTAGAATCTGAGGAGGGTGGAGAGTGTAAATGATGTAGTTGGACTGCGGAGTTTGCCATATCGTGATGAGTGGAAATGTGTTCCGCCAGCACCGTAGTCACTAATCCGCCCTCGAGATTGTATCGAGGTTCTTTAAAAAGGGAGAACAAACCCGTGATTTGATCAGTACAACTTAGGCATCGTATTTTGCGGAAGGGAGGAACAAGATGTATTGACTGGTGATACTTACGAGAAGTAGGGGCCGCTAACCGGCAATGGTACCAATACCGGATATCCGTTGGTGCAACCCGAGACTAAGTCGAATCAACACGCTTTTCCCGGCACTATGATCGTCCAACATGAGACACAGGAAAAGGGAAGAGAAGACGCAAAAAAGGAGATTAATATACAAAAATTATTTGGGCCTCCTGACTATATGGTATTCCCCTATGCTCCCACCCTCATCAACACCCTCTCCCTCACGTCCGCCCACTACCCCACACGGGACTCCTCCGTGTAAGGCAAAATCTCTCCGGGGCTTAAACAGGATCGTGCTCAAGCGGATGATCCTCTGGAAACCCCCGGGCCTTCTAAGATACTAAGATTCTAATGAAGGGTGTGGATGGAGTGTGAAAATAAAAGAAAAAGGATCCCCGAAAGACATGCACTCTCAACTTGGTTCTAGGGTGGGTAAAATGACAAAATTTCAATAGTCTAGAGATAGCACTCCAGATACTATCCCACTCCTGCCAATATTTCTGGCACTCAACTGCCCCCAAAGCCACAGACAAGCAGGTATGCTGAAGCGCTACGCAAGAGTAGGAGGCCAGAATTGCCCAGAGGCACACCCTCCTCCCCTCCAGCCTTCAATTATAACAAGTGCTATATGGTAATCCCCCAGTAGAGGTAAAATAAGGTGAAATGGCGGGATAAGACCTATGTCACCATCAGCCCTTCCATCCGAAAAATATCAAAGTTCATTGAGTGAACCTCAAAGTAGGAAACCGACACGGAAATTTTGGTTTGGCCTGCGAGATCTGGGGCGAATTGGTTTACAGCGATACGGCGGACCAAGCAGAGGGATGCGCTGGCGTGTATTCGAGGGTTAGAGAGCACACTAGGAAACTGAATCCAGGTAACAGCAGGGTATGGACCCAATGTAATGCTATCCGCACCCTTTCCGTCCAGAGCAGTTGAAACAAACCAAATCTATTCAGACGGTCCTTTCTGGGAGAGGGTTCCTTATCAGTTTTGCGGGGTGAACCAAAAGTAAGCTTTAGAGATGACAAGATAAAAACAAAAAAATGCCAAAATATAGGTTGAAGGAGAGAGGCGGAAGAAGATAGTGTGGTCCCTCCGTGATTAATTTATTTTTCAATAAACTAGGAACTACCGCCAGGTCAGGCAGGTCTTCTCTCCGACAGCCGGGAAATTCTCCGCCTAGGGTTCGATTACCTATTAAACTCCCTCCCCCCTGCTAGCTGTCTCTCACGACTGACCAGGAGACTCGTTCTATAAAATTCCGTAGTATATTGCGGGGAAGGGCGCGGGGGAAGACGGACAACGATTGGGTGTAGGATCACAAACAAGTAAATATAATGACCCACGTGGCTAGTTATTCATCCGCTACGAGCCTCGTTGAGAAGGACGGCTGAGAATGAGTGACTCCATAAAAAGGAACCTGTTACTCTGATCCCATGGATTTCTGCGGGGAGCCGGGAGGGCAAAAATGGCTACGAGAGGGGGTTGGTTTAGTGAAGAGTGATGACTGGAAGGTTGAATGGACGAAAGAACGTTAAAGAGTGAGGGAGGGGCAGGGAAAGGGAATTGGAGGGAGGGGGAGATTGTGAAGATAACTAGAACGCTAGGAATGGTTTGGGGGGGGTGAACGGTAACAAAAGTGATATAGCAAACGATTGCGATTGCGGGCGGCGGGAGGAGACCAGGAAGACTCGTAGAAAGTGTAGGTTAAAATTGTCTCTCGTTTAAGGTCCCCTCTACTTCGAAACAGTTGCAGCCAGGTAGGTACTTGCCTATCGGGGGAAGCACAACATCAGACCAAAAATTGGCCTATGCCAAGTTGGCACGAGAAGGGCAAAGTCGATAACCAGGAGCGGAGAGCGGAGAGGCGTACAGTACGAGTACTTTCGGGACGAAGTCAGCATCGGAACGAAGAGAAAAGGAAAGGAGAAAAATACGGGGCTTCAACACTTTCTTGGAAGGGTCAGAATACTTGCTCTTGATGAGGAATAGTTTCTCTCTAATCCTCTGCACTTTTGCGAGCCAATATCTTCCCAAATGAGATAGACCAGATGTCCAGGCGGGGGTGGACACTAGGAAGTCAGCCGGATTCGCCCTATAAATGTTCTTTGGGTCTGTAAGACAATAAAAATTCACTCCCCCCCCCAAATGAGCAATGTATAAATCGATATGGAAACCTCTCGCACCCCCCCGGATTGTCAAAAGGGCTGGAGCAATTGAGTAACAAGGGGGAACGTTGATCCGTCGAACGTCCAATCCGAACACCCACCCACACGCTAGATAGAACAGGACAGCAGGCACATGCAAACACAGACAAGACCCTCCAAAATGAAGAAAAATGTGTGCGGGGAGCGCGTATGTAAGAGAGGGGGAAAAGGAAAAATATCCCAGAGGCTCCGAAAATCGAGATCTGAACAAACCACTCTACTCGAGTAAAAATAGTCTAATAATACGCGCTCCGATGCCCTACCCTCACGTGCAGTTTTGGAGAACCAGCCGGTATGATACTCGTACACTTGTGCACCTCGGCGGCAGTGGGTGACGATGATGCGAAGAAAGAAAGAAGGAACAGGCCCTAAAGAGGGAGAACATGAGCCCAAGAAGAGTGTCACAGGCCGGAAAGGACCCGCAGGGAACCCCACGAAATGCCCAAAACAGCAAGAATGCGAAACAAGATAAATAAAAAAAGTAAGGAAAAAGGTTGCGTGAGGGATTGCACAAAACTGAATCACAGGAGGTACAAGTATGGAGTAATACTGTACGGTACAACGTACCAAAAGGCACACACAATGTTCCCCCGTATCCAATTGGACCAGGCCAGCCTCACTACCGTGCCTGTTGGAGTGAATTGTGGATTCCCCAATTCAACGATGAGGGTTGTCATGGGAAAAATACGAGCCAAGATGCAAGGGCAAGAAGGACCAAAGCAGCCTGACCTCTCTACCCTCAAAAATGAATGTGGGGTTCGGGGGAGGGAGGTGAGGGGGGGCGTTGCCCGGCCTGGAATAAGAAGCCGAAAAATGTAAAAGGTTCAGAAACGAAGATGATGAAGGAAACGATCCCTCTTTCTTTCTTTCTCCGTCTCTCTAACCCCCGCAAGCCCGTTCGAAGTACTATACTTGTACACACACAGAAGGGAAAAATACAAAAAAATAGGAAGGGGAGGGAAGGGAAGATGAGAGAAGGTGCGCAGATGGGTGATGGTGGACTCCGAACCATTGCTCTCTTGATCGTCATGGGGGTGCATCGCTTCTCACCAATCGGAGTAAGAGGTGGGGTGACAGGGACGGTCGGAGAATTTTCCCGCACCGACTGCCATGGGGAATGAGGGATCGACGCGCCATCTTGCTTATTGCTATCGAAAGGGAAGGGGGAAACGAGAAAATACCTGAACGCTCTCTGGCAACGTCTAAGAGACAACTCCAATAATTCCACCCGCACCGCAGTATTCAGGGCGCAATACCGGCACGGCGCCCTCTTCAGTAGGGGATATACCGGTATCATACATGCACTGCACACTGCAGGCACTCGCTTCATCCTTTCTAGACCCCTCTTGCCCTTTATTCCAAGAATACAAAGCGTGGATCGATACCAGGCGTTTTTCGACGGTACCTCCCGTTGTGAAGACCTCATTCCTGCACGTCTCCAAGTCAAGCAGTTCAAGCACAGTCAGCATACTTTGATGTGGAGACAGCAAACTTGGAATCTGCCAGAAGATTTTTTTTTTTCTTCCCCTTTCTCCTCCCAAAACCTCTCCATTCCCCCTATCACCAATTACCTCCCCCCCCACCACCACCACGTGTAATGCGATTCCCGTCAAAATACCGAACTCTCTCTATTCGAATTTTAGCTATGAAAAGCCACAATATCCTTTGCTTTGTTTGGCATACCCTATCCCGAGAAACGCTTTTCAATCGGTTAGGACGGTTTGCATGAATACGGTACTCGTAGAGTTTGCCTATCCTTTCTGGGGCAGTTATGCCAATATGTGGCCTAAGTTGCAAATAGGACTTGCGGTTACATCTTCCTTTAATTGATCGCTCCGGTATCCTTGCCCCGTGTTCGGTTGATCTAATTTGGTTCACCTTTCATCCCGAGTCGTTTAGCCGTGGTATCGGATTCGGGGGATGTGGGTATTTACGTTGCAGCGCATCATCCTAGCTCTGTGATATGGGACAGGGACATGAAAGAAAACGAGGAGTCGTTGCCAGCAGGAAGTGAAGAAAAAAGAAAAACAAGGATGGCTTACGGTTCATTGACCCCGTCAAGGCATTATTAAACTAATCCGTATTCTGGACAAATGCACGTTTCTCATACTCACGATAAGAAACAGGTGGCTTTGCAACCAATAATCATCTCCCCTTCAAAAAAAAAAAAAGACCAGGGTTCTTTTTTGTTTAACCTAACCTAATCTTTGAGCATCGAAAGGAAAAGAAAGGTGAAATTGCAAGGGGCTGGGGCTGTGCTCCCGTCAAGCTTTTTTATACCTAAAATTGCCACGGCAACGTTTCAGGCGCATCAAATGTGCCCGCAGCGACATGTCATGATGCCTGCAGCTTGTTCTCGAGTGACATGCCGTGATGTCCCTTCAGCTGGTCTTGAGATACAATGATCTCTCTCCAGCGGATACCCTCCAAAAAGGGCATAGCCTCTCACAGAGAGGATTTACCCGGGTTGGTATGAATAGGGGGTGGGTCTTGTCTGCAAGTTGAAGCACCGAGGGACACCTATCAGTAACTTGGGAGATTTTCAAAACTGATATGAAAGGGCTACTACGGAAGGAAAGCCTCCTTCCAACCATTTGGGCATTTATTTATCATCTCAGACGGAGGAACTCTAGCGGTACGGATGTGGCCCGGCTCCTACGGGAATGTACTGGTACAGTACCGGTATTCGATCAGTGAGCACGTATGAAACCGTGTCTCTCAGCTTTTCTGTGGGATGGGAACAACTGTGGATCTAAGCATTATGGCGCAACGCCTTTCCCCCCCCCATCCACAGTACTTGTACTTGTATGAGTAATCCTGAGCTATGGCCAGCTATGCAGCTGCTGATTCGGGGAGGGCAGAATGGTTTATATGCCGTAACATCTTTTCAGGAACTTTTTTTTGAAAATAAAGAAAAAAGAAAAAAAGGCGCCGACTCAAATATGCGCTAAGCCGGAGTTTTGGGAGTTGGTAGTATTGTTTTATATATATACACATATATTTCCGGAAAGTTTTTTTCCTATGAAAGAGGCAGCTGGGCCGTTAATACTCTGAAAGTAGGCTCGAAGCACGAAAGGAACCTGAGTCTTGCGGGTTCTGAGGAACCATGCGAGCACAGCACATCCGCCATCTCCCCCTTTCCCCTCCAACTTCTCCACAAGAATTACGCTCAACCTGTCTTCTCAACCACAGCACCAATTCTTTTCCAATTTAGCCTCTCCCTGGAGTGCTCCGTCCACCATACAAGTAATTCCCCATAGACACGGCCCCCTATCACTAACTCCGAATGCCTTGAACGGGGGAACCTAGCCGGGGATGCCCGAGGATCCGATGAACTGCTACCGACCACTTAATGTGATAGAATTAAGGGAGTTTCACAAGAAATATATCGGCTACTGGGCTTGCATTCGCATGTTGAGCTGCTTTGGTGAAAGGGGGATTGGGGGAAAGGCTCGTGGATGATTCGCCTTGGGCAATCCTGAGAAGGAGTACCCTGTGTTAAAGTCTTTTTATCCTGCGATCCCATAATTCGGGGAAGCCATTGCTCGGGAAAGTCACATTCAAGTTTTGGATGGCGCTTCGATCTTTTCCGGACCCACGGGTGCAAACAGGCTCATCACGGTATCCCTTGAGCACTTTAACGAACCAGGATTTGTTCCCATTCAGGGGTTTCTTAAATATGGAGGCACAGTACTCGTACTCGCACAGCCCGTAAGTTTTGTATATTTTACTAGTAGCAGTGCTGCGTTAGTACGGGATGAATGGGTGAATTGGGTAGCAACGGTACTCAATTCGCCGCAACCATACCCAAATCACTCCCTCACCCCCTGCTAGCCGAACACCTTCTGCTAGTGGGATATATTGTACAAAACCTACGGGTTGTACCTCCGTAAGATGGCTTGAACGATGAGGGGAATTGTGCGGGAACCGAGTACCGCATTTGCTCTGTCAATTCGCTAGCGCCTGCTGGTCGCTAATCTCTGGTTTCAGGACAAAGATTCTTAAGAAGGATTAGTGTTTTCTTGACATGGTATAGCATGAGTCATTTGGCTGTGTTGAATCTCATTAACTGGCTTGCGCAATTCTATTAACTTGTAAAACTAAATCAATCTTGGGCGATTTCGTGAAATACAAGGATGTCTACTCTTGCGGGGGGGCATTTAGAGAATGAGCGGCGGGTTTTATTTTTATTTTTATTTTTTGCATAGGCCATAGGCGACGGCGAGGATGGTGGGGGTGCTAACCGCTGGTTACAAGGTACTGTACTGTACACGTACAGTACTCCATGAGTTGCAGTTCGCTACGGATCCGAGCAGAGGATTAGGAAAGCAGTTGATCGTTGGCATCGGGCGATTGACCTGCTTTGTATTCTGCTAGGCCTTCGGTTGAATACCGGTAGCACGGCCAATTTATTGGGAGGATACGGTAGGCAAGGAGTGCTTTGTCTTTGAATGGGATGGCGGATTGACAACAGGAGTGAACCCTTCTCGAGTGATATACTCGGAATTGAACCACGTTTGTGAGCACGACTGCAACTGCATGCCGCCAAAATTCAGATTTTTTGCTTAGATCTTAGCGCCACGCAATACCGGTAGTCGTTGCGTTCACAAACGCCGTTCAATTACGAGCAGGTCTTGTCGTGCGAGGTGTGTGCCGGTATAAGTTACTCGTACAAGTAGAGACGTGGGACCATCTATTATCGGCCACCGTGCTGAGATATCTGTCACTTTGGAAGGGCAATGGGTAACCTTATGTCTTCCTTCATTATTTTACAGAAATGGTAGGATTTAGTTATGATTAGTAAAACTGGGCCAATAGGTGATGCTGGGAAAGGTATTGTGGGGTACCGCCATTCCGTGCATATTTTGCAGGAGGGTAACCTTCCAGCTCACCTATGATACGGGCAATGGTTATGATGGCGGTGCCCCAATAATATGCAACATCTACTGGCGAAATTGACAGTGCATATCTGCCAACACCACGTTCTTTCGACATGATACAGTGGTATCTCGATAAATACTCTTTTTCTGACCACTTTAGGTGGATGAATTAATCCTGAGGCCGGGGAAGCTTACTATCCTCATAGCTACGGATGGCTCGATACTGCGATAAATGCAGAAGACGTGACACAGAGCATTAATTCGTGGATTGGATAATACGGCAGGTTTTCTCAGGGGTAATGGCAGAGTCCAGGGTACATAATAGTTCACCTGTGGCATACCGATAACCACTGCCATGCAAGAAAACATGCCACGGGTCATTGCATAGATATGGGAACAGACGAGCCATGAGTCATGCTTAGGAAATGGTATCGTATGGATAGGGGGGGGGAGCAATTCCGCTTGCTTCGGTTCGGGGCACATGGGGATGGCATACCGACAGGGCTTACCCCAGTAACAACGATACTATGATATGAGTACAGAGAATCGTGAGGAACGAGCATTTTTCTAGACGATTCCCAGACAGCTCCTAACCCAGGCTTTCCCCATTTATCATACATGCTTCCAGCCTTGGATACAGTATCTTTACCCTCACGCAGACGCAAGATACCGCGTTGCAAGCGGATTGCCCGCACCGGGAAAATCCGTGTTGAAAAGCGAGAAGGAAAAATGCATGCATGTCTACCGACCGATACCTACACGGTATGTGCCGTGATTGGAAAGGGGGGGGTTGAGAACGAAATATGGGGTTGGGGCCGCGTACCAATCAGATTAGAATACGATATATAATCCAGCGGCCTATCTACCGGTATGTTATTGCATCTCTGACGCCTACGTCGGATCGCTCCCGAGAGACAAACCGGGGGCATATCCGGTCTCTTCTCCACGGAAGCCCGAGAAAAAAAGGGGGTCAAACTGTTGGACCGCCTTAGCAAAGTTTACAAGTAGAGTATCTGGAGAGATACCAACAGCCTGGAATATCCACTCGTCCCGGGGGAGGATAGATACTCTGTCTGTGCCGGCGTTCCGCACATCCGGACTGGAGTTCCGTTTTGGAGAGCAGACAGACATCGGCGAAAGTGCCATGGGTATCATACCCAGTGCCGCAGTGAGTGATTGTTTATGATTCGCTACTTGGATCCGAACATTCAAAATCAAGAGACTCGCCTGTCTGAAAGTTTCAGAAGAAAAACTCTCAGAGAGCCAGGGAAACATGTTTGTTACTTTGCCGGCAAGATATGATACTCGCTCAATTCTTCGCCTTCGCCATGGATACAATTTTTTACACCCCGGCACCCCTTCCTCCGAGGGTGTCCCAGTTAAACATATTCTGGGGATATTAAAGCACAAACTAATACCAGGACAGCGGTACTCTATTGTGCGAGCACCAGGACAACGAGAACTATATTGCTCACATTTTATACCGGCACAGTACTCGTACTTGTACGTGCCACGGGGTTTGATGTCGATATATCTGGCTTAGCAG